CGTGGCAGCGCCCAGCAATCTGCATGATGACACGCATGATTGGCGCTTGACAGGCCAACGTCACTCCATCTTCAGTAGCTATTGTCTTTCTTATATATCAATCAATGTTGTAAACACATGGCCGTTCGGTGTCTTCTCTTAGATTTAGTGGGTGCCTCTGTTATATAAGTCGGCAACAGCCCGCGCAAACCACCACGCACACGCAATTCTCAAGGTTTGTACGTCAACACAGCCGCCCCATCGTTACTGTGAGATGTTTCCTCTTTCGCAACTAGTATGTGACTAGTTGAAGCTGACTAGATCATCTTAGAGCCGCGGTGGAATTTCGCGGTGTCGTGATCGATGACGTCATCACCATCCCCCTCACCAAACGGTCTCACCAGCGGTGCCCGAAGAACGGAGAAGGCACCTTGAACGCGGGTGCATATCGCAACTCATACTCATGGCTATACACCTCGACGCCAGCACTTTGAGAGGCCTTTTGGCGCAGCGCTAGGGCTTTCATGACGGCTACGCGGGATGCAGCTCTCGCGCACATCAGCGCCTGGCTCACTGAGACGCGATGACGCACAAGTTGCTCAAACACATCTATAGGTACCACAAGCGCACTCTGGTACATATAATCATCCTCAGTATCTGATTTGTCTCGCAGATATGCTGTGTTGGGTTGTCGCGCTCGCCATCTGTTCCTCCACCGGCGCCCCTTCACCTTGTCACAACCACCGCGGCCAGCACACCAAACGGCGTCCTAAATCTCAATGACGTCGCTAGTCGCACAAGAACTATCTGCTGCCTTCTCTCTCTCGTCGTCCTTGCTATTGTCGCGTTATTGAGCCTTTACCGAGCCAGTCAGGCGCTGCTGCGCAAAAAGTGAAGGAGACCTGAAACACAACTTTTCGACCCCAACCCCCGAACCTCCGCAGAACGACGCCAGATCCCGGTCAGAACGCCAGTTCCTCGAGAGGCTGGGCCAATAGCTGGCCGCCGCCACAGTATGCGACGCCGAATCGGGTAACTGAAGTATCCACCACCACCACCTGCACCGCAGAAGATGGAGGAAAAGGTGCGGTATTTATCTACCTTCATGCTCACAGACTCTCTAACCAGCCTCCCCAATTGCTTAGATAACGACGCCGAGCCTTTCTCTCACGGAGCTCACCTTGTGGCTGTTAAAATTAATTCCTATTCGTCTCTCTTACACCACACACTACTTCCTGATTATCTTCAAGCATCTCAGCGACTACTTTCTCACTTATTTCATACCTACACATTCATCAACATGTCCAACAATATGGACTTCGACTTCAGCATGTTCTGCAACGACGACTTCCTCAAGGACATCCCTCTGCCGTCCGTCGAGACCTCTGGCGACGACGTCGCTCTCAACTTCGACTACGGCTTCAACGCTGGAGAGTTTGCCGGCGACATGTCGTTTGGACTTCCTGGAGGTGACCTCCTGAGTCACGCCAGGCATCTACAAGGTGCTGAGTTGGCGTCCTGTACTCTCCCCAAGGCCATTGAGACCCTCCCGGCCTCCACTTTGCCTGCCGTTCCAGGGCCTATCGAGGCAATGTGGACGCCTCTCATGAACCCAGCTCCGCCGGTAACCCCGGCCAAGAAGACCAAGGCCCCCGCCAAACCTCGCGCGACCAAGCCCAAGGCTCCCCCCAAGCCCAAGGTTGTCAAGGTGAAAGCTCCGCCCAAGCCCAGAGCTCCCAAGCCTCCCAAGGAGAAGGCCGCCAAGGTCACCAAGCCCAAGAAGCCTGCGAAGGCTCACAAGCGCACCGTCTCTGCACCCTCCGGACCCATTCGTTGCGTCGGAGAGCTTTACCACCTCCCCTGGTCTCAGCTCTCCCAAGAAGAGAAAGGCCGTCTTCTACTTCCTCTCCTCCAGGGCATTGACCCCAGCACCGGTATCAAGATCGGCGAGCCCGGCACTCTACTTCCCCCACCTGACTTCGAGATGATCGGCGAAGACCTCTTCGGCACTGGCGACAGCGGCGCCAAGCTCATGGGTACCTCATCCTCACCCTCAGAGAAGCAGCGCGGCAGCCTCACCATCACACCTTCAAGCCCTACTGCATTCCTCAGCAGCCCGGCTACCGCTACTACCACCCGCGACTCCGACGCCGAGGACGCCGCCAAGTACCGCGCTCTCATGGCAGCTCAGAAGGCGCAGATGTCTACCACCAGTTCTCCTATGTCCAACTCCGATATCAACAACATCGACATCGACATCAACAACACTGTTCAGTCATTGGGCAACGACGCCGTCAACATGGACAACTGCCTCAACAAGAACACCTCCTCTTTCGCCTCCGACTTCCAGCTCGACCTCCCCGATTTCCAGCTTGACTTGTCAGAGTTCGAGTTCAATCTCGACGACATGTCTCACCCCGCCTATCAAGGTCTCAACTCCGGTCGCGGTCTCGGCGGTCCTTGTGGTAACGGCGTCATCGGTGACCCAGCTCCGACTCCAGCGGTTCAGCCTGTCTCCCCTGTCAACAACAACCTCGATCTCTCCGACGCTGCCGCCATGCTGAATGCCCGTCGCGGTATCGGTCAGACCCCCACTCCCGCTAGCGACTATGGACGTCTCCGTCAGATGGAGGCTCTCAAGCGCAATGCTGAGCTCCAGGCTGCTGGTCGTCGTCGCTAGATGCTTTGCGCACTCGGCGTTGGATGGTATCATGTCATGTATCTGCTTTTCTTTTGTTGCCTTGATGGCGCGGTCGCGAGGAGCTCACTGGCTTGAAATGACGGACTCATTGGGTGGTAGGTCAGTATGGACCTTGGTGGTGCTTACTGGAAGTGAGATGGACATGAAGATGCATGGAGATGGATATGGTTACGGAACGCTCACATCGCATCACCGCTGAGCAACGGATGAGCTTGATGAGAAACATTGACAGAAGAATATACCCATTAGACCCAAAGTCTCTTCCCTTCTGCACCGCGTGACCGTGACATCTGCCCTGCTATAACTTCGTCTTCGCTTCTACACCTCTTCTCTCACGTCAGCATGTCCACCTTGCCTCTCGTGCCCTCCCACCAACACATTCAAAGCTTCGACTGACTTTCTCTATGCTTCTCAAACATTTCATAACAGCCTTCCTCCCACTTCCTCATCAGTTTTCCACATATCAGGTCTCCAGGCGGTACAACCTGCCCGGCGTAAACCCCAGCGAGTCCAGTTTTACGGTCAATCCACCAGATGAGATTGGGATAGCCACCCCAGAGCATCGTCCCTGCTTTCTTGCCGTCAGGCCCATCATCCATCATGACCAAACCGCCAAGGGCGTAGTCTTTAGCTACGTGTTTGGGGGTACCGCCCATTGCGTTGTTCGCCTGTGATTACGTTAGCCGAACCGCCCTGGAAGAATAGAGTGGGGGAAAGACATACCGCATCATCCTGCACAACAGCATTTAACATCGCCCGACTCCCGTCACCCAACTGCGGCTTGAAAAACACCTCCAAACTCTCCTTACCCAACACCTTGCCCTCGCCTCCCTCATCACAATCCAACACCCCCTTCAACACCTTAATATACTCCTTCGCGCAGGTAAAACTCCCCTGTCCACCCATACAACCCGTCACCTCCCCACCTTTGTCATCCACAAAAGGCATCTTCCCCTCATGAACACTTAACTTCCCGTCTTCACCCCTCCCCGACATCTCCGCCATTCTCTCCTGTAAATCCGGGCGTGTGGAAGGGAAAAACGTGACATCGGTGATACCAAGCGGGCCCCAGAGATTCTTCTTCATGTACTCTTCTAGAGTGAGACCGGAGATACGTTCGACTAGCAAACCGGCGTAATCAACCCCAGGCCCATACGCCCAGCTCTCGCCCGGCTCAAACACAAGCGGCGCAACGAAGCGCTCCACAACCGTTGGCGAGGCATTCATTTTCTTTCCATGATATTTCAGCCACGCTAGCGTTTTCGGATGCATGCCCTCGTACGTCAGGCCGCTCGAGTGCGTCAGCAAGAGACGGAGAGTAATAGGCTTTGTGTGCTTTTCCTCAATGGGAACTCCCGCATCTGTGAAACCAGTGAGGACGTTCAATACTTCCAGTTCTGGGATGTGGGTGTATACGGGTTCTTCCAGGGTGATGTGACCGCGCTCGACGAGTTGCATGGCGCAGAGGGCTGTCATGAGCTTGGTGCAGGATGCGACCCACATCATCGTGTTGAGATCCATGGGTTTGGCGGAACTGGGGTTCATGGAGGTGCGGCCGAAGGCTTTGGAGTATTTGAAGGAGCCTGGTGTTTGTTAGTACTGCAGACTGGACATCGTTGTGGGGAGATGTGTTGCGCACCATCACGGCTTGTAACCGCTAGAGCACACCCGGGGATTTCCTGCGCTGCAATGGCGTCGTTGATGATGGTTTCGAAATCGGCCATGGTTGTGGTAAAGACTTGAGTAGTTTCATGCAATAACGGACGTGGTGACGCTCGCTCTAAAGTGTATCGATGTTTATGTATGTACACGCTGCGTAGGGGCCGCAAGCTGCAGGATCGAGATTGTTGTCAAGATGATCGAAATGGTCCTAGAAATGTCATTACTTTTTAGGCTGCAGCGACTGTCACGGACTATAACTCACGGATGAAGCGGTAACACATACAGAGTAAGGGTTGCACGAGAACTGCCTGGTGTTTGTTGTCGTGATTCGTCCGTGGCGGGCCAGGATGGGCTGCCGAGGTACACGATGCGGGGCTTCGATCCTTCAACCGCTAGTCGCGACGTCGACCAAACCGCGAAATCCATGAAATCTGAGACAATGAGGAAAGGAATACAGAAAATTTACAACTCTTTCAGGTTCTACTTCCATGGCGCTTTTGAGTAACAGAGGCGCAAGTCACGGAGACACTGTTCACGACAACACGTCCCCCTCTGCGACATCGCATACAGTCCCAAGACAACCAATTCGCCTCAAAATTACTGTTTCATAATCTCCAATCTGGGCCATCTACCCGGGCGAGCAGAACGACACATCCCATCACCACATCTCGAACTCACCAATGCCGGAATCCCAATCATCCCTAGAGCAAAAGTCAGCACCACATTGTAGTCGTCAGCAGCTGTCCACATACTCATTGATAACCTGAACATTGTCCGAAGTCTTGAAAGCCCACAACATCATCATGAGGTCATCAGGTAGTCCGTGAAGCTCGGCATCTTGTTTGTAGCTATCCTCATTCCTTATGACGGCGGCCATGCCTCTCATTTGTGTCGCCGCGTCTTCAGGTTCGGGTTCGGGAGGAACGAAGTGGGTTGTCCATGGGCCAGGATCGAATTGCTCGACAGCGTCGGCAAGGGTGCGATAGTCGAGGACGGTGAGGTTCTGCATTGGTGTAATGTCTATGTAATGTTAGTGAGATATTGAGGAGTTGCTGTTATGGCACTTACTCCCAAGATTGCAGTCCAGCTGGTGTCCTTCATCTTCTCCGCAATCTACACATGGAAGCTGTTCAAGGCCTTTCATGTAACTGCCCCATGGCTCGGAGATAGTTTCTACCGGCTTCTCCGCTACGGCTACGGCTTTAGTACCCAGTGTAGATACGTCTGATGTGCTGAGCGACCGAAGGTCGCTAATTGAAGGCTGTTGTCTCCCCCGAGAAGCATAAGCCTGCCCATTGGTTGCCGTGTTGCACGACCCAACGGCCGCGATTGGCTCTTCGATATTTGTACCTTCGGTGTGATGCGCCGGGGAGCTTGCTGGTAACTGTAGAGGGCTATATCGGTCTTCGGACGAGACTTCTTGTGAGCCCATCGTAGGGGTCTTTGAGGAAGCATTGTGAGGCGCGTGCGGGCTTATTGATACACCGGGGATGCTATCATCATCGTCGAAAGCAGATGGCGTTGTCGGAGCTGCGATCGGTTTGTGTCCTTTGTTGGCGGAGGAACCTGCATTGCGACCATCCCTTCGATCATTGCCTCCCCCCCTCAGTGCCACGTACCCAGGATATGTTTCCGCAAAACGGTTGTCTTGTCTTCCGCTCGTCGGAGATCGGATTGGTATGTTCGAAGCATTGGAAACTCCTGAAATCGAGGCAGTAGTATTTGGTGAAGGGTCTGTAGCGCTCTTGCTGTGGGCTAGCTGTCGTGGAGGGTCTGCGTAAGCAGAGTATTGTACAGCAGAGGCGCGAGCAGACGGGTGAACCCAGTTATGTTGAGATACACCATTGCTAGCATTGGATGTTGCTTGTTTTGGTGACGACTGCAATCCCCATTCTAACGCAGCTCGCGGTATCGTAGGCACGCTCCCGCTAATAGACGGACCAGGTTGTGCGGGTATCAACGGTTGCGTTTCGAAGCGTTGGGAGGGAGCCTGCTGCTGACTTTTCGCTTTGGAAGGAGGAAGTGGAATCTTGACCTTTTCTAACGATGAAGATGTAGGCGAAAGCTGGCCTGCAGGCAATGCAGTAGCACTGGTTCTTTGTTTGACTGATTTAGTTTTGGCTGCAGGTTTCGGTCCCGCTGCTTGCGATAGCTTCGCGCTGCGTGCCCTGGTAACTCTGCCAATGGGGGACTTCGGTGTCGCTGGTTCTGCGTGCTGAGCTTGCGATGAAGTCGAGTGTACAGGCCCTGGTGTCACTGGAGATGAGATGGGCCGTTCTGGTAGCTGAATCGCGGGATCGATCGGGGTAGGTCGTTGGGCTCTGTATTTCGCTTCCCAGTACTGCTTAAGACGTGGGTTGGTGCTGATTGGGTAGAGCGGCACTTGCCCTCTGGACGACATGGGCAGATGAAGCATCGAGCGCAGTTCGTAGATCGTTTGGAGATGATGATGCGCCGTACCCGACATCGCCATCTTGAAGCTTGTATCGTTTGCGCCCCTCACCCATCTTAGTATGATCTCGTCGAACCTGTCGTCGCTGGAGTCGGCAGCTTGGAGAACATCCTCAGGTGTTGTGAAGCCGCGGGCCATTGCGCGCCGGTCATCGTCGATAGTCTGGAACCTCCAATACCCGCCTTCCAAATGTGATGGGTCGATTGTCCGCACAAAGTGATCAAATTCGCCGTTGGCACCCGTCGCAATGCCGCGGTAGGCTGAGTGGTAGGCCATGGCGACTGCCGGGAGGGTGGCCTTCGATTGCAGCGGTGTGAAAATCGGCGTAAAAGCGAATGAGGGTAAGTCGTCGCCGTTGAGATCAGACAAGTTGGTGTTGCATCAAGCGAGGGCAGGTGGAAGTCCGCTGTGGGAGTAGTCGGGGAAGTAAACACTGGAACGGCGCAGAAGATTGGAAGGTACGCGTAGGCACCAACATGCAAATTTGAAAGAGCTGAAAATTTCGAGCTTAGAGGACCATGGTTTGACGGAAACATCAAAATGATTAAGAGACAGTTGCAAGCAAAGGATGAGCCATTCGCCGCATGTTTACCTCTCATATCGCGCTGCACGTGCGAGGCAGCTGCCTGAGGAGGGGGCAATTATTCGAGCCCACTGCTCCCATGCATACTGAGTACCTACAAAAAGAGCCGCGTGGTGAGTCTAGCATGATATCATAGGAGGCCTCGTCTGTGTATCAATGGAGACGCGAAATCAGTTAATAACAGGGTGCGAAAGCTGTCGTGACACGGTCGCGACAATATCATGGCTATCGGCCTCGACAGGCAAGTGAACAAGTACAGACGCATACTTTGCGTCACGGACAAACTCTAGTGGAGATATGGAAGGTGATTTGAGGAATGCGCAGGACGCTGAAAGTGTACAGGAGATGAGACGAGATGAAGTCGCGATGTGTCTCGGTGATGGTGTCAGCCGATGACGTCATCGACCGCGCGCGCGCGCTCCAAATCGGGCAATTACAAAAACCGTAGATTGCGGGTGCGGGTGCCTGGAGAATCACCACGCGCCGTCCGTACTTCTCCCCGCTGTCTTCCACTCAGCAGCCTCCTACCTCATGCAAAGAAAAGTCTAAACACCCTAGTATCTCCGTTGAAGTTGATTCGACTACTTCAAATTCTATCATCTCAATGTAGGCTGCAGACCTGTTCATCTTCTCCTTGAACAACGCGCCCCATCTACAGCGTCAACCCCCCAAACCACTCCAAAATAATCCTCGTCGCCTCCGCCTCCTCGCACGTCAAAACGCCCTCATCATCCCCCGTATCCCCATTCGCAAACGAACTAGGCCAATCATGGCCCAGATTCTCATACTTGTAATGCACAACCACGTCGTCCCAGCTATACCGCGTAACCTTCTTCCCTTCATCCTCTTCACAGAGATATGATGTTTTGTTCGCGTTGACGTCAAGGCCGTCTCTCTCGACCCAATCCCTCACCCACGTGGGGATATCAGTTGAGTTTGCGTTGCCACGGGTGTTGATGCCGCCGGCGTATGGGATTGTCGTGTCTTCCAGGCCGTGGAACTCCATGATGGGGACTTGGCGGCTGGGGTTGCAAGGTAAGGGCTGCTGGTCTGCGTCGAGGTAGAAAGCGCCGGATACAGGCGCAAAAGCGGCGATTCGCGAGCTCGCTTCGGCGTCGCAGGCTAGCACGCCGCCGGTGAAGCCTCCGCCGTTGGATTTTCCGGTTGCGTAGATGCGCGTGGGGTCGATGCAGTAGGTTGATTGGAGGTGGTCGAGGAGTTCTAGCGTGAATTTGACATCGGAGATGGAGGGAGGGGAGTCGGGGTCGCCCTCGTATTGCTGCGTGCCTTTTGCGTTCTGGGCATGTGTGTTAGCATACTTCTACCATCCATCTGAAGATGGGGAGGCGGTACCGGTACGCCTTCGGGATACGCGACGATTCCTTCGAAGCCATAGCTGGCGTTTGAGAATTGACTGAGGGCTTCTTGGTACTTTGCATTCTTGCCACGGCCGTGAAATGAGAGGATGAGTGGGACGGGATTGTTGTTGTCGTAGGAGGGCGGGATGTGTAGACGGTATTTGCGAGGGGAAACACCGCTTTCACTCTCCAATGTCAGATCGACGGACTTGTCGAGCTCGACGCCTTTGGGTAATGACTTTCCACATCCGCAGTCGGGTGCGGTGTTTGGACTTGAAGCTGCGGTCGCGGCAAAGAGCACCGCTAGCATTGACGACGATGCCTTCATTTTGGTAGTTCGGGTTGGATTCAGAAGTCTTAATCGTGGCTGCATGCAGTTATATATCTCCGAGGTGGTTCAGGCGTGCAGCAACGTCACATGCGACCTTCTCTTTTTGTGGCTAGATTGCTGTAGCATGATATCTAGCGTGATGCTAATGTACGGCCCGCCGTGCTAGTCTGTATGCCTCATGAAAGGTGTCGATCGTAAGCCTCAGCCGTCCTACAACCCACTTTGCTATCAATAACTATAGTTTCTATCTTTCATAAGCCACCTAATGACTATAAGTCGTAGCAGCTATGCCGAGCTCCAACGGACCCATAAACGCCGACTTCATCCCTCAGTCCAGGCCCTCGACCACGGCTTCTACCATAGCCTCACGATACTTCTTCTTCATCCCATCATCAAAGCCATCATACTCCTCTTCAGAAAACGTATTGTGCCCACCCTCCACATATTCCTCAGCGACTCGTTGCTCAAGAGTACGTCCATCATCACCTTTCACGTCCAGGCGGTCGATGCTTATTTGTTCGACGTGCGCAGCGACTTGAATAGATTCGGTCGGGTTAGGTAGATTGCCGTCTTCAGAACCTGCTGATATGTTAGTGACGCCGCTCGGTTGACCAATACGGTGACATGGCTTACCCGTAATACCCTGACCAAATTGCGCGAGGAAAGCGTCTTGATCGATGCCTTCGTCAGCGACATAACCGGCAAGCTTCTCATTCTCGGCTTCGTGGGCGCTGATGCGCGCAAGCATCGTCTTTGCAAATGCAGGTAGCTCATCAAACTCCCGCGCCTTTTCGTCTACGATCGCTTTGGAATCTCGAGCATCATCAGGATGGCAGCCGTCAGCCTTCGTGCTATCGTTCGGGTCTCCTCGCTCATGTGATCTGCGCTTGCTAGAAGGCGGTGACGTACCATCCGTGTCGTGCGAGCCTGGGGTATTGGAAGGCGTGCCGATATGTTCTTTGCTACCGTCGGAATCATCTTCCTCGTCGGTCTTCTCTTCCTCGTCGCTGTCCGACCCATCGTCAATGTCGAACATTTTGCGATGCGCCTCTTCGAGCTTTTCGTCCAGCTCTTCAAGTTCCTTCTTGAACTCCGCAAGCCGCGCGTTCGACGTCGCACGAGTAGCCTCATCCATGACGATCTCACCCTCGCCAGTGAGTAGAGGGACGGTAAGTGGCACCCACGCAGCATGTCCCTCCAAGTACTGCCAGAAGTCCGGCCAGAGCTTACGCAAAGCCAGCTCAACTGCTGAGTGGCAGCCCTTGAGGAAGTCTGGATCGAAGTACTCCTTGGGCAGCATGCTCTTGGTCAGGCCGTGGTCTTCTCGTAGCGCAAACTGTAGCAAGCGCCTGTCGTGGACTAAGCGACTGGAAGCTGTGGAGGAGTAGAAATGTTCCTTGCCACACTTCTTCTTCCAATACGCAAGTTCCTCGTGCAGGCTATCACGCTCGACAACTGCGACGTGCCAGTAGTGCATCTCGAAGTCTTTGTACCATGCACGGTAGTTGTCGATCCTGCGTTCGCACTTGGCGCGCGTATCTAGCGCCTCACGCTTGTACCTATCGACATCTTTCAGGAGTTCGTACTTCTCGGCGATGAGTTTCCTGTTCTCTGTTTGGAGTGGATGAATCTGGGTGAGGATCAGGCGATGCATTTCGAAAGCATATGGGCTACTGGTGGTATTTGTAGCACTGACCAAGGCATGACAGTTCTGGATTTGGCCTTCGAGGAGCTTCTCTTGTGCTTCCAGTGACCGCACTTTGCGTTCAAGCCCAGCTACCTTAGCTAAGCGATCCTGCTCCTCAGTCTGGTATCTGAAGAGGTCCTTATCACATTGGTCCAATTTGGCTTGAATGTGTCGACGTGTCTCTTGTTCCTGCTGAAGCTCAGCGCGAAGTTGTTCTGCCTGCGTGTAATACTCCGCTATGGCCTCTGCCACGATGCCGTTAACAATGGCTCGTGGAACGCAGTCTGTGGTGTTAGAGACATCGCCCTGGTTCGCCTTGGAAGCTGCAGCAGCGATGACCTTCTGCAAATCCGAAACGTATTTATTGGACTTCGTCAGTTCATCGTTCAGGTGGGAGACTTTATCGACCGCATCTGTGCGTTCGGTCTGCAGCGTCTCAAGCTTCCTCAAATACGAGGTCAGTCGATCTGCATTCGACTGGTTGACATCGAGCAGGTTCTGCACATCCGTCTTTAATTCCTTGTTGTCTTTGATCAATGCTGCGTTCTTCTTTCGCAAGGCTTGATGCGTCTTGATGGCGTGCTGGACATGCTTGGCTAGGTCCCCTTTGGCCACTGCTGCGTCTAGTGTAGTCTCTAGACCAGCGATGATGGCGTCCTTCTCCTGCAAGATCTGCACCCAGTTCGCGTGGTTGTTACGAGTCTCCGCTTGGGCGATGAGGGCTGCACGCTTGACATTCTCCTCGGTATCTTCCCAGAGTTTGCTTTTTTCCGCAAAATGGTCGGAAAGCTTTCGATATGTACTGGTTTGCTTCACCAAGTCGGCGTTGCAATTGCAGGCAATTGCGTCGCTGCCTTTGGGTATGGCGTTATGGTTTCCGTTCATGGCAGCGGCTGCGTCGAGAGCTAGCTTCAGCCGTGCTAGCTCCTCATCCTTTCTGGTAACGAAGTCGGATAAGTCGTGGACTTTGGCTTCCAAAGTACTGTTATTCTTGCGAAGGATAGCCATAGTGCTTGACTGCTCGTTGTGTGTCGCCTCCAGTTCGGAAATCCTACGAGACCAATCGTCTATGGCCTTACGGTCCGCTCGGCGCTTTCCACGTAAAGTATCAAGAGCGTTCCTGTCTCGCTTCTGTTCATGTAGAAGTTCGGTGATCTCACAGTCTCGTGCGGTAATGATGGCTTCCTGATCATGTAGAAGTTCGGTGATCGCGCGGTCTCGTGCGGCGATGACGGCTTCCTGATGGTTACATGTAGCGGCCAATGCATCTGCCTTCGCGACCAGAACTTCAACGTCCTCTTTAGCAAGCGCATGCGC